GACTGATCTAGCGAGACCGCTTGGAACGCTGATATCTCGCTCCCCGAACGTGCTCCCATCGACTCCAGAACTCCACCAGGGCGAGTGGCAGTAGCGGAGTCGACGGGGGAGCCACGGCCGTTGATCCCGCGCCGTGAGGATGGGAGGGAAGTCGAAATAAGATACATCGACTTCAGCTACGCTATTCCCGTAGCTGAAGTTGCGTATCTTACATCAACCCCTCCCCCTAGTGTAGACCAGGCCTAGGCCTCTAATTGCCAATAGATGCCCTAGACAGTCCCCATGCCATGCTGGGAGTCTGGCATTGCCATGAGGGTGACCCCCTGCTCTAGTAGCCGGGGTGACGGCTTTCACTCATTCACCACCTGGGCTCCTGGGGGCTGATTTGAATTACGCTGTGTCCCTTGACTCAGATTCTAGACCAGAGGAAGAAGTGGTGGCTTGCTAGAACCAGCGCCGGCGAGAGGGGCTATATCCCGAATAACATTGTGGGGCCAGTGGATCAGGAGCCTGTGGAGAACAGCATGAACCAAGTAGGTCCCCCCGTTCCACTCCAAGCTGCAGCAACCCACTGACCTGGCTGGGCCTTCCCGTGCTGGGGCGCTGTCCCCACATCCTGGGGTTGGGATTATGGGAACTAGCTTGCTAGCGGTTCAGCGCATGCTGGCTGTAGAATAGGGGTTTCCTGATCTCATTCCCTGCACTGTGCTAAAGGCTCCCGATCTCCCATCCAGCAGACACCAGCTCTGAGAGCTTGTCACCTGCAGGCAGTGGCTTGCGGGGTGGCTGGGAGGGGGAAGTGTTCGCTTGTCTGTTGGGGGGACGTGATTAGCTCTCATTTGCTGTGAGACTCCTCAGTCCCCTCCTCTCTTTTGGATCTAGGTGCCAAGCAGCTCCCCTGGTCTCCAGCAGCACTCCACGCCGGTGGAGGTGACGGCCTGGCTGCGGGACATGGGCTTCTCCAAGATGTAGGTCGTCTCAGTCGCTAACCCTGGAAACCAGCCTCTCTCTCTCTCTCTCTCTGAGAAAGGCCCCTCCCTGCCATCACCCCACTGGTCTCCCTGAGTCACATCAGGCCCAATCCTGAAGCCCTGGGGGCTGATCCTGTGCCCGCTGACTTCAGTGGCACAGAATTGGCCAAGCCACCGTTGGGCAGTTTGGGGTTAGGCCCAGAGCTGTGTGGGACCGTGGTGTCAGGGACACTTTGATACCTGGGGGGGGAGGGAAGAACAACCCCCCCTCCCAACCCCAGGGAAGAAAGCAGTATCCTTATGCCCTAGCAGGGGCAGGTGGCCACTCCCAGGCACGAAACTGACTAGTGCCTCTTGCCCCAGTTAGTGCTTCCCTAAGTACTGGTACCAGCTCTCCCCATCTTGGATAGTACATTCCAGCAAATGCCCCCTCCCCCCACCCCCTACCATCCATCT